GCCGAGGGGGCCCCCAAGTAAGGACAGGGCTGAGCGGGTGGGTGGGGAGCGGGGCCGTGGCGCCCACTGAGCCCCGTCTCCGGTCTCCCCGCAGCCACCCCGCGCCGGCCGAGTACGTGGAGGTGCTGCTGGAGCTGCGCAGGGTGGAGGAGCAGCTGCAGCCCTTCCTGCAGCGATACCAGGAGATCCTGGCCACGGCCAGCACCACTGACTACAACAACAATGTAAGGGCTACCTATCCCCCTCACCCCCCCGGGGTAGTGAGAATGGGGTGTGCCAGGCCTACCCCCGTCACAGGGAGAATGGCATGTTCTGAACACCCTCCCCCCCCGCCCCTCTGAGATTGGGATGGTCCAAGTCTCCTCCCTGCCCCCTCAGAATGGGATGTTTGGAACATTCCCCCCCAACCCAGTGAGACTGAGAGGGTCCAAATCTCTTCTCCACCCCACCCCCCCGGGATATTCTGAACTTCCCCCCCATCCTGGTGAGAATGGGATAGTCCAAATTCTGCTCTCCCCCCAAGTCTATGAAAGGATGGCAGGATCCAAATCCCCCCTCCCCACAAGTCAGTTCTAACCCTTGGGGTTGGTCCAGGTTCCTGCCCCTTGCTGTCAGGCGTTCGATTGGCTAGAACCCGACCGGTTCATTTTGGGGAGTAGGGGTGTGAAGAGCATTATGGGTGATACCATGAAAGGGGATTATTTGGGCTCTGAGATGGGTGATACCATGAACAGGGGGATGGGACCCTGAGCTGGGTTGTACCATGGATGGATGGTGGAGGGGGGGAGGCGGGTGATACCACAGGCGGCGGGGGGGCACTGTGGGAGCTGACCGTGACCCCTGTGTTGGCAGACAGAGGGGCGCGAGGAGGACCAGCGCATCATCAACCTGGTGGGGGAGTCCATGCGCCTGCTGGGGAACACCTTCGTAGCCCTGTCCGACCTGCGCTGCAACCTGTCCTGCAGCGCCCCCCGCCACCTCCACGTGGTCCGGCCCATGTCCCACTACGCCGCCCCCATGGTGCTGCAGCAGGCTGCCATCCCCATACAGGTGAGCTGGGGCACGGGACCCAGGTGTCCGGGACGGGTCCCGCCCCTAGGGGCCCTCGCAGCTCTTGGGGAGGGAGGATGGACCCAGGTGTCCGGGATGATACGTCTAGGGAGGGTCACAGCCCCAGGGAGGGAGGGGATGGACCCAGGCATCCGGGACGGGCCCCCTAACTTCTCATCTGTCCGCAGATCAACGTTGGGACCACAGTGACCATGACGGGGAACGGTGCCCGCCCCCCCCAGCCTGGCCCTGAGGGACCTGCCCCCACCCAGCCCTCGCCGCCGGCCCCAGCCGGAGCCCCCAGCCCCGGGGAGCCAGGCCGGGGCCTGGAGAGCCAGTTGGGGCCCGGGGCGGCCCCGACTCAGACCCAGGGCTCCCAGACCAGCCACCCCCGGGTCATCCGCATCTCCCACCAGACCGTCGAGCCCGTCGTCATGATGCATATGAACATACAGGGTGAGTGGGAGCCCCGGAGGGACGCTGGCTTGGGGGGCAGGGGGCCTGTCCCCCCCTAGAGGGCACTGGCTGGCTCAGGGAGCGGGGAATGGGGCAGGGCCCTGTCCCCCCTAGAGGGCACTGGCTGGCTCGGGGGGCAGGGAATGGGGCAGGGGTCCTGTCCCACCTAGGGGGTACAGGCTGGCTCAGGTAGCGGGGAATGGGGCAGGGCCCTGTCCCCCCTAGAGGGCACTGGCTGGCTCAGGGGGTGGGGAATGGGGCAGGGCCCTGTCCCCCCTAGAGGGCACTGGCTGGCTCAGGGGGTGGGGAATGGGGCAGGGCCCTGTCCCCCCTAGAGGGCACTGGCTGGCTCAGGGGGTGGGGAATGGGGCAGGGGCTGTTCTGCTCCAGGACTCCTGGGTTCGACCCTGGCTTAGTGCTGGGCCAATCGTCTGTTTCTTATTCTCAGACTCTGGGTCTCAGGCGCCAGGAGGCGGCTCCGGGGGCACCGTTCCCACGGGCACCGCTGGACCAGCCGGGCATGGCCCGGGCATAGGTGAGATGTGCCCACCCTTAGAGCCCGGTGGGCTGCGGGTCCGGAGTGAGGGGCACCGGCAGGGCTGGGGGGTGGCAGGGGCTGCGGGTCGGGAGTGAGGGGCACCGGCAGGGCTGGGGGGTGGTAGGGGCTGCGGGTC